CGGTCGGCCGGTGGAAAAAAGAGTGCGACAGCAGGGGTTCGAACCCTGGATCTCTTCCTTGGGAGGGAAGCATCTTACCACTTGACCACAGCCGCTTTCTCGGTGGAAAAGGCATCGAATCCTTCCTATTTGTAGGACACCCTTTGGGCGGATCTCTCCGATCGAGCACACCATCCATCCCGGCAATGAGCCCGACCGGCGATGAACGGACCCGGCACGCCGAACGCGGCCCGGGAGATCGCGGCCTCGGGCACTCTGCCCCGGGTCCGGGCGACCTCGTGCAAGCCACGTGCGCGGCGGAACGTGCCGGACACCGGGCTTCGCCCGACACACTGCCACCACCTCGTGCGGCGGCGGACGCTCTTCTCGAGCCCCGGCAGACTCTCGTCGGGCTGACCGAGAACATCGGCCCGGGTGGTGGTGTGGCAAGGGGGAGATGGAGCCAAAAAGGAAAAGGTAAAGTTGCCCGCCGGATCCGGCCATACTGGCGCTGGCGCGCGCCCCGCGACCAGGGACTTCGGCAAGGCCGCCCGAGCCGGGCCCCATGCCACGGCTGCCGTCCTCCACCGGAGAGGGGGTGACATCCGGCACGAGGCACGGATCGCGCGCTGCAAGCGCGGCCGGGCACGGAACACAGTGATGTGCCTCGCCCCCTTCGAGCGGCCGACAGGCGCCCGCCACCAAAAGGGCCCCGGGGCCTGTTCGAGCGGCAGCCAATGTCGGAGTAGAAGAACGCGCGCTGTCGAGCGGACCGGCACCCACCAAGCAGGGTCTCCGACGACACGGTCGCGCCATGCCCCCAGACAACGACACACACCCACACGGCCATGCACATGGACGGAGGCACGGGAGAGGGGAGGAAATGCGCCCGGACCACTCTCGTGCCGGCTGTGGGCAGGCATACACCCCCCCCCCGCATCGTCCAATCCGAAAAGCCCCCCTCTCAGGGGGGGGGGGGCACGTTCAAGCAACATCGCGCGTTGAACACAAGCCAACAGGGAGTACACGCCCAGTAGGGGGACTTTGTCCGGTCTTCGGGGATGCTGCCCCGAGCGCCCCCCTCTCCGGGGGGGGGGAGAACGTATGCAGGGGAGCGCCACGGACTGACAAAAGTGGAAAAAGAAGGGAGTGCGACAGCAGGGGTTCGAACCCTGGATCTCTTCCTTGGGAGGGAAGCATCTTACCACTTGACCACAGCCGCTGCTCGGTGGCTGGGAGGCACTTTTTTGTCCATTTCAAGGTAACTACTGAGACACGCCCTTTGCGGCCGTCCCGAGGGGCGGGCACATGCCCCGGCGCCACGCCCGCTGGTGTTCCCTCGCGAGGAGATCCCCCTGCACATAGCGGGACAACGACCACCAGGGGGGGGGGGGCAGGAAGGGCCAATCGAGAACCTCCCCTCGGGGCAGCGAGCACCCCCGGGACCAAGCCACGGTGTCGGCTGTCGCCCGGACCAAAGGCAATCCATGGACAGGGGCAAAGGGACGCAGGGCTCCCTCCCCGGAGGGCAATGAGCTTGCAGGGTGCCGGAACCTCTCAAAAAGAAAAGAAGGAGACGGGAAGGGTGCCCTCTTTTTGTGGGGTGCCACGCGGCAAGGCGGGGACACCCAGGGCCGGATGGGCCGAGTCGCGCCAGAGAAAGTGCTCTGTGCCGGCGGTGGACCAGGCTCATGCTCCCCCTCCTTCCCCGGTGGCCAGGACAAGCAGGCGCCCTGTCGATCACCCGCCGGGATGTGGCAAGTCGTCGGGAACACATCAGGCCGGCGGGGGCACGGCCCATGCCCCAGGCCAGGAAAGATGGCCCGAGGGTGGAACCCGGGGCCGAGCACAACGGCGCAAGGGCCACACAGGGACGAAGAAAGCAAGGGCGAAAGGGCGGGAACACACAGGTCCGGCCGGTGATGTGGGCGGCACCCCGGGGGCGGGCCCGGCGCGGGGAAAAGAAAATAGCGAAAAAGAGAGTGCGACAGCAGGGGTTCGAACCCTGGATCTCTTCCTTGGGAGGGAAGCATCTTACCACTTGACCACAGCCGCTCGCTCGGTGGTGGAAGATT